TTTGTCTGTGCTCCAAGAGAAGAAGCTTAAGCTTGTCTTGTCCCCCCGAGTGGATCTCGTCTAGATTTGCCCCATGAGTATATTTGGAGGAGGATTAGGAGCTTGAATACACGGCCTCCCTTCTATAAAATAGCCGTCTATCCCATCTCCTCGATCAGTACAGTCCCAACTCATCACAATCCATCTGCATCGAACAAGATCAAAATCTCATAACTCACTCACTCACTTTCTCTGGCTGTGCCTAAACATCAACACTCTTTCAAGATAACAACTTTCGCTTTTCAAGACACTCGCTTGTCCGTTTGCCGTTTGAATTTTTAAAAAGAATCTTTCTCGCTCTCCTTCAACAATCAAGGCACCTCCACACAGCATCCAGAATGCGTACTTCTATCGTTCAGCTTTTCGCTCTCGGCTTTGCTGCCTCAACTGTCGCGACTGGCCTTCAGACATTCGACAATGTTCGACGCGCTACTGTATGTTCTATCATTCGGATTTTTGCTTTCTTACGAGATTTCAATTTGTTCCCCAAGGACAGAGGAGAAATATCCAAGTCTCAACAACACTTACTGATTCCTCTTCGCACAAACAGGGCAACGCTCTCGTCGTCATGGCTGTCCCAGCTCTGGCTATTCCTGTGGGATCTCTGATCACCACCACTGTGCGTTTCCATCCCAACTACTAGCAGGAACAGGAGGCAGGAAAAGGGCAAACCCCAATCCTTGACTATTCACCCTCAAAAATTGCTCCAAAATCCGTTCAAGGATGAAAAGCATACTAACTCTTGCTTTGCTTCTCTGTCTGCAGAGCAGTGCCGGCTCCCTTGCCCTCAAGAGGCAAGACTCGGCAGACGTAGAGGATGAGTCCCTGTTCTCCAACGATGATGACTCCGACGGTGACGAAGACGATGACTCGGACTCTGGTGACGACGATTCCTCTGATGATGATGATGATGATGATGATGATGATGATGGTGATGACTCGGATGCCAGCGACGATGGAGACGACGACTCTGATGACGCCGCGGATGATGCTGACGATGCCGCGGATGATGCGAACGATGCTGCTGACGATGCTGCTGATGATGCGGACGATGCTGCTGACGATGCTACTGATGCTGCGGATGATGCTGCGGACGATACGAACGATGATCTGTCCGACTTCTAGAGGATAAACAAAGCGTTACTTTGAGAGTAAGCTGTCGATACATCAATATCTGGCTGGCTTCCTACATAGGGAGGGGCAGTGAGAATCGCTGGCTTTTAGTGCTAGGTTCGGGACTTTTCTTCTTCTTTCTTCTTGTCAGCATGACAGAGTTATTTACATCGATATATAAATAGCATGGCAAAAAGGTCGGGTTCATTGAATACTACTGCCTGAAGTTGTATCCTCTGATTCCGAGACGAGGAACGAGCAAGTGTTACCTGATGACATATCGAGTATATATGGTGGTACCAATTGACAGCAGCGGTTGTGAAGGTGAATCATAAATCAAGATGCCATGGAAGCTTGGACAGACACCAATGCAGGCCGCCAAAACACAGACGCAAGTTTGTTGTCTGACTACAGGTTTCTTCTTGATTCTTTTGACTTGTCCCTGGTCTATAGGCCATATTGCTGTCATTCTGTCACCGAATCTGCACCGGGGCCCAAAGTCATCCTTGGTTTGAATGTTTGGACAAATGTGTGTCGTACAGTGTCATGATATGCACTGTGCCTGGAGGCCATCCTCAAAATTGGGAACAAGCTCCGATCATCAACGTAAATAACCAGCACAACAATTCTGACCATGTCGCTCCTGATTCTCAATATCAACTACTCACTGCTGAAGAATGCAACCAACTGACTAGCGACCAGCGACTCCATAATGATCACCAAACGGCTGGTAAGGGGCCAGTATACCAGCGCCAGCCCGTTCGGAATTTCGCGAGGTTCCCACATTCTCAACAGTCGAGGACTGATCCGTCTTGGCTGAGTCTGCGCGAAGTACGATGGAAGTTTTGGTGAATGGACCTAGTGGGCAAATGGGGGATGCTTGGGACTATGCTTCGCGAAAGCATCGGTTGATGCCAAATCAACATTTAATTTTACGAATTGCCCCTTCGATTCAAATCGCGCTCAGTGCAAAATCCAACAAGCATATTGTACTGTCAATCTCCAATTGACCGGCAGAAATTGGCGTTGCTGCACATATAAAAGTCGTTTGCCCAAGAGCTTTTACTTTATCCGTCTGTCCCCGCATAGTCTACCACTCCTGAATTAGATCATCACATTTGCTAACCCCTCACTGCAACAAGCTGCGGAACAGCAGCATTGCTGGTTTCTGCGAAGCGTGGACAAAAGGAAGGGAAGTATCGCTTGTCCTCACTGAGAGTCAGTTTTGTTTCCTCTGCATCTTCGTAATCTCTTCCTTACAACCAACCACCTTTGGACGCTATCAGTTCTGTCATATGCGCAGCTCAAGATCTAAATTCACCATTCGATCGTCGTTTCACGTCCTCTCTCTCGCGTCTTTCACGCACAATGGAGTCCAAAGCCATCGTTGCACGCGGACCGTTCAGCCAACGGAAATGGACGATCGAGCAAGTGAAACTACGCGAGCCGCGCGACGAGGAGGCGATTGTTGAGGTCGTGGCCTCGGGTATCTGCCATACAGATCTTCATTGTGGTGATACAGGGGCTGACGAGGGAGTCCCTGCTGTTTATTACCCGCGAGTGTTGGGACATGAGGTTTGTGGTCATTTTTCCTAAGCTCGTTAGCGTTGACGGCCATGTCTTGTTATAAATTCCTGTAGGCAGTCTGCCTTGTGGTGACGATACTGTTGAACATCGAACTTGTTTCGAGAGTACGAATGGAACGCTGCATCTGAATGCTAATCCTGAGTGAGTATAGGGCGCGGGATATGTAGTCAAAGTTGGCAAGGCCGTGACAAAGGTGAGTTGACTGTGGACGATACCGCTGATCCTGTGATAATCGACGGCCACTGAAACCTTAAATCATCCCTTCCCCCCCCCCAGGTCAAACCAGGCGACGCAGTATTCATGTCCTTCGCGGCGTGCGGAGCGTGCCACGTCTGCCGGTCTGGACCTCCTTCGCACTGCATCAATGCCTTCAACCTCAACTTCATGGGCGAGCCCGTCTTTGCATCTTCGTCTGGCTCCGCCTCCAATCCCGACATAGGCGGCCGCTTCTTCGGCCAATCCAGTTTTGCGCGGCACACCATCGCCTCCGCGTCCAGCCTCGTCAACGCCTCAGCCCTTCACCTAACCCGGTCCGACCTTGCCCTCCTCGCACCGCTAGGCTGCGGTTTGCAAACAGGCAGCGGGACCGTCCTGAACGTCGCGCAGGCAGGGCCTGATGACGCCATAGCCATCGTCGGACTGGGCGGCGTGGGTCTCGCGGCTGTGATGGCAGCGAGCCGGATCGCAAAGTGTAAGACGATTATTGGAATTGACCGGGTGGCGGGCCGACTGGAGCTCGCGAGGGAGCTGGGCGCGACCCACGTGTTTGACACGAGTGAGATGGGCGTTGGCCCTGGTTCATCGTCGACGGCAGACTCAGCAGATTCGGCGTTTGGTGAGTTGGTGAAGAGGGTCAAGGAGGTCACAGAGGACGGCGCAGGCGTGTCTGTCGCAATCGACACGAGTGCGCATCCGGGGCTTGTCGCAGCGCAGATTGCGTATACGCGGTACATGGGCAAGATCATCCAGGTCGGCACAGGGATGCCAGAGTCGTTTCTGGAGGTGCACATGCAGAGTTTTATGGTCAGTGGGAAGCAGTATTTTGGCGCGATTCAGGGGTGGAGTCGGAAGGAAGAGTATATTCCGCAGCTCGTGCGGTGGTGGCGCGAGGGCAAGTTTCCGGTGGAGAGGTTGGTCAAGATGTTTGCCTTTGAGGAGTTTGAGGATGCGTTGGGGAGTATGGGCCAGGGGATCGTGGTCAAGCCTGTCATGGTCTGGGAGGATGAATGAGTGATGGTGAAGGGTGTATTGGTGTTGAAGGACAGAAGGTTTGGCAGCCTGTACAATAGTCAGGAATGACACGCCCGCGCTCAAAGGCACTGCCCACGACAATCTGCACGGTGCAGGCGCAGAAGAGCAGCTGGTAGAGACAGAACACAATGTCTGCTCGGTGGTTTATACCATGTAATGTCTTCCTCGTCTTGGAACCTCAAACTCTCCCGATCCAGAAAACCACTTTACCAGCCCTGTCGCGGGGAGAGATCCTTTACTCGAAAGTCTCAACTCCACCTCCGATTCCGCATTTCTCATCGCTCATATCTCAGTGGCCAGCCCCAGGTTCAGAGCGAGAACATCAATCAATAGAACATGATGCCACACAAACAGTCTCGCCTGTCAGCAAGTATCCCGGGTTCGAGCTCCTTGTCTCTTGGCACCAAGACCTTGGAACAAGCACTATGGCTTGCCCACGGCGATAAAGGGCCATTCGTCCTTCTTGTCCAGAACCATATCAGACTCAGTCAGCCGGGTGGTTGCTGCTCGGGCCTGCTTTTGTTCTTGCACGGACTGAGTTGTGTGGCCGAGGCGTGCTCAGGTAGAGATAAGCCAGCTCCAAACCGAGTCCGAAGACACGGCAAGGCCAAGTGGTGTTGATAGCTGCTGTGGTCATTTAATGGCAGCCGTAGCCAGTTCTTGTGCACCTGGTTTGAGGAAGTTCGATGCATTGATGTTTTGCAAATGTCTGTTGTTGAGCAGGTTTCAATGTTGTGTCTCTTGGTTTCTTGAGCGGAATCGACAGAGTATCCTGTGGAATAAGAGCCATGGTGATGTTGTCCGCATCTTGATAGTCAGATGTCCATCTGTCAAAGGATTCTCGACCGCCGGATCGACTCCTGGCTATACGACAGGCTTGGTGGTCAAGCAAATTGAGGGCATGATTTTGGCAACCGTTGATCAAGTCGTTGGGAGCCGAGAGGAGCTGTCTGTGCCACGAACAGCAAGCAAACAGGATATAGTAGCCGTTAGATTTCGCAATTCCAAGAGCGCAAATGGTTTAGTGGTAAAATCCATCGTTGCCAGTGGATCTCGACTTCGAGATCCTGAAATTCGATGGGCCCCCGGTTCGATTCCGGGTTTGCGCACACGCGAGAAATATTCTTTTGCTCACCGAGTCAATTTTGTTCCACTCGAGTTTGCTCCATCCAGATCATCAATTGTCGGCAAAAGTCTCTACTTTCGTTGTACGTGGTAAAATACTAACTTGGGCAAATCGGTTTTCAAAGTTGGACTCGTCAATGGATAGCAGGGTAAAGCGACGAACTGCCTTGGGAGCAGCCGCTGTTTGGAAAAGCTGGACGAGACATGGAGAGACTAGAAAGCTGTATCGGTGTCGTTAAGCATGCTTCTAGAAAGACTAATAGCATCGAAGCACATGGGAGCTAATTATTCACGAAGCCACAATCTGAAGTCAACGAGGCGCGTCGCTGCATATGAAATAGACGTACCTTTTCAGCCCTGCTCTGACACAACTATGCCATTCTTGGTCATAGTCTCTTTATCATCAGGTCCCCGTCGGCGGACGGGTTCTAATATTATGTTTGCTGTTCTGATTAGTGACGCAGAAATTGTGAAACACTCTATTGCATCGGGAGAAGTCTGGCTGCCAAGATTGGAAGACTGAATGATCGTTCTCTACCGGGAAACACTGTTGGCTGGATCACAAAGTCTGTGAAACACAGTACATTCGGACTCTGAAAATCTCCGTGTCATTGAGATTCACTAAGCCTGATTGGGAAACCGACTGTGACGTGAAGGTGTACCAGGGACGACAAGCAATAGTGGCGAGGAGACATGACGGCGGGGCATGACTCCATGTCGACGACGAAACGATTCAAACCATCAACCTTCTCCACATTGACTTGACATGACCACCTGTTGACCTGTCTCATTGCCACAAGGTTGTATTTTGAACCAACACACAATGGCCGATGGCAGCGGTGTGGATGGTCAACTGGACCAACCCTCGCAACATGGCGGGGTCATTAGCCTCAAGGATCGGGCCGCGTGGGCAGCCGCTCTGAACGGGGCGTGTCCCGTGCTGGCTCACCTCAACGCCGACACCACTTGGCTGCTCCAGCTGCCAATCCCAACCGCGCTCTCGTCAGCATCGGACGTGAAATTAGACTCCAAGTGCAACAGTCGACCGCGCTCGCGATACAACATCCTCATCGATCCGTGGCTGCAAGGCCCCCAGAGTGATGTCGCTTCATGGTTCTCGACGCAATGGCATGTTGTTGCGCCAGCAGTGCAAACCATCCAGGAGCTAGACAGCATTCTGGCTGAGCTCGAAGATGGCCATGCCGGCGGTGTTGGCATTGACCAAACAACGTATATCGACTGCGTGGCCATTTCCCACGAGTTTACTGATCACTGCCACGAGGCCACGCTACGGGAGTTACCAAAAAGGGTTCCTGTGATTGCTACAGACAAGGCGGCTGCGCTCATTCGCTCGTGGAAGCATTTCGACACCATCATCGAAACGCCTGGCTTTTCTGCTGATGCAAAAGCGGATTGGCAGCGAGCATTGGTCGATCCAAATGAGCGGATACCGCCCTGGGTGGGAATCGGTCGAGTCATTACACAAAACAACGCGCTGTACTACCACTCAGCCATCATGGTTGTGTTCGACCGGAATTACAGCCCCGGCCAGCAGACGACACGGCAGAAGCAAGAGCCACAGGCTGTGATCTACTCGCCGCATGGCATCAAAGGCTCAGACCTTGAATGTATACCGGCGGCGGGCATCAAGACCCTGGCTCTGCTGCATGGCCTGCACGATGTGCGCATCTGGATGACGAAGCAGCTGAATCTGGGCGCCCTGAACGGCATCCAGGCTGTGCGAGCCTGCGGTGCAAAATACTGGGTTGCGACGCACGACGAGGCCAAGAAAGGCGGAGGATTCATCTCGTGGCTGCTGCGCAGGAAGACTCATACGCTTGAAGATGCGGCAGAAGCCGAGAAGGCGAAACAGGAGGAGCAGGGAGGGACTTCATATGAGTTTGTTGAGTTGCGATCAGGTGATGGGCTCGTCTTATCATGACTAAAGCAAATAAGCTTGCACTGGGGGGCCCAAGGGAGGGTATCAAGGGAGGTTGGATGTTTCGATTGGAGAGGCAACCCGAGGGAATCAACGGATCCTGGGTTTAGTTAAAGATATCAGCAATTAATCCATCTTGTTTTCCAGACAGCGAGGCGCAGCACCACCTGGGTTATTTCATATTCACCTAATGCTCGGTTGTCACGAAAAGAGATGCATGGATATTGGAACATTGAAGAGTCAATTTGACGGTGGGCCATCGGTCTGAACATTGTGAGGTCTGCTTTGTCATCCAGCTGAGGACTCTGGCTGACTCTGCAGTGCCAGCTCGCCTGGTACTGTTTTCAGTGCAGCTCTGTAGACTGTGCTAACCCAGCGGGGTTGAGCCGAAGCACTGACCACTTTTGCAGCGTGCTTGCTCTGGTGGCAGCTGCGGGGATCCATGCTGCTATGAGCAGGTGTGAGGTAACCTTGCAACAACCCTGGCAGGTGAAGAAGAAAAAAAATCCATCATCGAAGCACTTCCTTCTCAGTAGCCAGCCCAGCCCAGCCCACTGCCGCTGCCTCCACCCAGCTGCCAACCTGCTGCCACTGCTGCTGCTCCTCATCCCAGCTGTTCTTTGCAACCTCGAGGGGCAGCCAGGCTTCGAATCTGTCCAAGACCGTTACTTCTGTGCTGCTGCTGGAAGCCTGGTCCAGCCTGTCCTTGTGAGTACTCCAGACATGTCCAGCCCTGCCAGCCGCAAGAGCCGAATCCCAAGTTGCTGGCAAAAAACCCCCGACGACGAGACCCTCTAACCAGTTTGTTGCCTGCCCAGGGATCCAGCTATCCTCTTCGTCCTCACTCTTCCTTCTTCTGCCGCCTTTACTCCTTCAACATCCACGACAAAAGCCACTACAAGCAGACTCTGCTGCTGCTATTCTACTACCTTGTTCTCCTCATGGTTCAACTGCTTAACTTGTCAACTCAGCACCGCCGCTCCATGCCCGACCCTTAGTGAACTCCACCGCCGCTCCTTTCAGACCCAACTTTTGAAGCCATCGTGGCACGACAACGCGACTCAAATTTCCTCTCCTCTTTTAGCTTCTCTCACGCGAACTCAACCAACTTACTCATCTATCCGAGCACACCATGACGCCGTCCTCCAACCCTCCTGCCCCTGCAGGAGGCCTTCCTTCACAGCCTGGCACCACCAGGAGGCCCTCTGCTGCGCAGGCCGCTTTTCGGCGCCGCGTTGAGCCAGTCATTCCTCTGACCTTCCTACGCCACCGCTCGAGCCCTTCGACTGCAACTTCCGAGCTGCCTGCCTCTCCGCTTCGACCAAACGCGAACGCCATCCCGATTTCCCAGCAACAAACCAACAAAGCCACCGAGCAGAAGAAGCCCGAAGACGCCCAGCCCTTGGCTGCCAGTGCAAATGGCGTGGTCGCCCAAGACAAGCCCACTACACCTGCTTCTCCTCAAGAGCACGAACTTGACGCTGCTGAAGCTACTCGTCCTCCTCGTCCAGAGGCCCGCGCAGAATCGGTCGACATCTACAATCAGGATACCGCCAGCCCGTCGCAGCCCCCCAGCGAGTTTACACCTTCAGGTACGGAACTCATGGAAAAGCAAAGTCATGTCGAGGTTCTGTTCTCACATGCCTTTCCAGATGCCGCTCCCAGGGCTCCTTCCACTGCCTCGATTGCGCCTTTGGTGTCCTCACCACCACCGCCTCCTCCGTTTACCACCAATACTATGGCCAACGGAAACATGCGACAGCCCTTTTACCCCGCCAACAATACCCACCCTGTCAACCTGCCGGGCTCAATCCCCGAGCCAATTCGTCTGCCTACCCATTCACTCAATCACTCGCGCGTGCACCAACACCAGCTGAGCAATGGCAGCATGGTTTTTGGCGGATTCAACGGCTCCAGCTCGCCATCTCCCCACCCTCACTCTGGCAGTGCTTATCCTCCTCCCCTGCCTATTGCGCCTGAGCAGCTCCCTGTCGCCAGCGTCGATGTGCTTGGCCGCCCTGTCATGGTCCCAGCGCCCATCGACGTCCACGTCCCTGTTGCCATGAACCATGGACCTCTTACTCCCCATAGTCTCCACGGATCGCACTCTTCGCGAGCTGACGAGTTCGTCCCAAAGGTGCTGCCTGTCAACGGGATCAATGGTGCCGATGTCGGACGTCCAGGCCCGCCTCCGGGTGTTGCTCGCCATGCATATTATCCCGGCAACCGAACGCCGTATGCACCGGATGGTTTCGATCCTCTGAGCGACGTCTTGTCTTTTGCAGACTTTATCAGCTCCCGATTTGCGAGACCCGATTTTGCCGACTGTGAGGTGGTTCTGGAGATCCCTGACCGACTGACTGCCACCAACTCCCAATTCCCAGGAGCACTCAACGGACCCTTGAGCATCCCAGCTCACCGCATCATCCTGTCCCAGCACCCTGCGTTCAACAGAATGATTTATGAACACGCGCAGCAAGGCGACGGCTCCTGTGCCATTCGAATCCACTCAGACGACCCATTCCTGCGGCCAGATAGTATGTGGCGAGCCATTCAGTACCTCTATGGGTGCCGTTATGTGCCCCTGCCACCTCACCTGGAGGCGCAGCCCGATACCGAAAAGTTCCACTTTGCTCTCGGCTATGCCGCCGCTGGTGCATGCATCGAAGTGCCTTTTGTTTCAATCTCGGCGCTTCGAGAGGCAAGCAAGCTGTTGAGCTGGGACACAGTCGAAAAGGGTCTCGAGTTCGCCTTGACTGGTCTGCAGGTTGATCACCGTACCGTGGGCGTTCCCCACGGTCTGTCCACCTTCCGATTCAAGCACGGTGTCTACGTTAGCGAGCTCGTTGATAAGATCGTCATGTTCCTCACCACCTTCTTTCCGCCCAACTTTGTGCTTGACACCACTGTCGAGGACCCCAATTACGCACGTCTGCCCGCTCTGCCTGCCGATTCGACCGCCCACCAGAATGCGAACGAAGGACACGGCAATGGCTCTCGGATGTCCAACATCAACATTAAGTTTGGAGACATGGATCTTGGCGA